AGAGAGGCTTGATGGACGCCACTACAGCTGCTGCTCCTCCTCTGCTCTTCATTGTTTTCTGCCGCATGAACTGCTGTTGTTTGCCTTGGAGCCAGTGGAATATGGATTGAACCCTCCAGTAACTGTAAGCTAATAAACCTTTCCTTCCTTGAGTGTCGGGTATTTGTCCCAGCAACGAGTAAAAACTAAAACAGAATTTGGTACCAGAGGAGTGGGGTTGTTGCTGTGGCTATACCTGACAATGTGGATTACAAGCTTTTGGGAATGGCTTATGGGAAGAGATAGGAAAGGTTCGGAGATGTCGCCTACAAGGGAAGCGCTGTAACAGCTTTGGCTGTTCTGTATGGGAGATTCTGGTCAGAGCTCAGAAGACCAGAAGGTGGATAGAAAGCCGGCCTGTAAAGACCAGGCTGGGGAGGTTGTTGGACTGCGGATGATGTGTTACGGCTTGGCAGAAGGCTTGTCTGAATTTTGCTCCTGTCCAGAGACTTTGCCTGAGACTGAAATTAAGCACAGTAGACTAGTTAATCTTGAAAAAGAAATTTCAAAGCAGCCAAATGTTGGAGCAGTTGTTGTTGGGGGCTTTTAGCCAGATTTATGTTAAGAATGAAGAGCAAAGAGCCCAAAAGAATGATTTAAAACGTAAGTTTGGCCAGAAAGGAAGCACCAGAAAGGCTGTGGACTGTGAAGACAGAGTGGAGAGGATCTCCATTGTTGAGAAGGAACAGGAGAGTGGAAAAGATGTCCTGAGGGCATCACAGGAGGTGGCAGGCTCCTGCCCTTTGCAGCCCCAGAATCACAAGGGTGAAGAACTTTGCTTTGAGGAGAAAGCTGCAGAGCCCCATGTTCCAGAATGGAGGCAGCAGCCACACCAAGTTCCAGAATGGAGGCGGCAGCCACATCAGATTGCAGAATGGCGCCAACAGAGAATTTGTTTCTCAGAATCAGAGTTTGAATGCTCAGCAATCCAGGCACTCAACCCATACAGCCAAGAGAGAGGAAACCCTGGCTTCTGCTCCAGCTGGCAGCAGCCCTTGGCATCATCCACGTAGCTTTGGTTGTAGGCGCATGCAGAATGCAGGCGTTCTGAGGTTCAGAAGGCTTCCGCCCAGATTTCAGAAGAAGGCCTGGGAGGCCAGGCAGTGTACCCCTGAGAGGGCAGTGTGTGAAGCTGGGAATGAGAAGCCTATTCAGTGGAAACCTCAGAAGTTTGAAAAAGCCAGAAATGTGGATGGTCTAAGAAAAGCTGCAAAAAGGGAGCAAAGCAGGCCTGAGAGAAAAGCCAGAGGAGCTACCAGCAGAAGTGGCCTAGGGTTGGAGCCACGAAAGGCTTTTGGAGCTCACAACTCATTACAGGGTGCTTTGGATGGTCCACAGGAAATTACAGGACTTAACGTTTGTCCAACGTTTGTCCTTCGGGACCTTGGACTTGTTGTGGTCCCAATTGTTTGTATCCTGCTGTGTATATCTTTTGGAATGGCAATGCTTATCTTGTGCCTTTAGATGTTGTAAGTGTTTAACTTTTCATTTGTAGAGGGGCTCACAGCTAAGAGTTTGCCTTAGATCTTAGAAGCTTGGGACTTGGACTTTTCAGTGTTGCTGGAACTGGTAGGACTTTGGCAACTCTTAGAGGAGCCTTTGGACTCAGAGTTGGTTTATTAAACTCCTACAACCTGAACATCTTGCTAAATATTTGCTATGATAACTTTTGGTAGATCTTCATGTTCTATCTACTCCAAGGATATTAGCATACTTAAGTAGTCAATTTGTAAAATGTTTAAGCATGTCTGTGTACCTGGAAACTGGCTTTAAAAAGTGTAAGTCTAGTTGTCCAGTTGACAAGGGGTGGATTGTGTTAGTTGATACATTGTGTCAACTTGGCTGAATCAGTCTGGCAACTTGGGGGCCTCGCCCTGCATTGAGAAAGGCTTCCTGCTGCCCTGCCCCACTTCCTGCCTCCTGCCACCCACCCTGCTTCCGGAGAAGTCTCAGTCTTCGGAGGAGCTTGATCTCCACAGCCGAGCCACTTTGGAGGAGCTCCAGTCTTCGCAGTCAGCGCAGAAGGAAGAGAGAGGCTTGATGGACGCCACTGCAGTTGCTGCTCCTCCTCTGCTCTCATTGTTTTCTGCCGCATGAACTGCTGTTGTTTGCCTTGGAGCCAGCAGAATATGGACTGAACCCTCCAGTAACTGTAAGCTAATAAACCTTTCCTTCCTTCATTTTAAGTGTCGATATTTGTCCCAGCAACGAGTAAAAACTAAGACACCCAGTATAAAGATTAAACCAAAGGGTGCCCCACCACCAAGCTACATCCCTAGCCCTTTTATTTTGAGACAAAGTCTCCTTAAGTTGCCCACAAAGGACCCGAATTTTCTATCTTCTTGCCTCAGCCTTCCTTGGACCCAGAATTACAGGTGTGTACCACTGCCTGACCAGGAAATGTGCATTTTCCCAGGATGAAATGTTAATTTTTTAACAGCATACTGCACTCTATTCTTCAGTCCTCGGGAGCCACAAGCCTCCGCCAGCAATGGCCCTTCTAGGCAATGCCTCCAGAAATGCTTGGAAGAGAGCAGGAAAAGAAACCCTTTCTCTCTTTGATTCCGACATGGTCTGAATTATCTGAAATTTTTTCCCTTAAACTGTGGGTATACATGGCTTCTATAATTTAAAAATAATGGGAAAAAATAATACTGGAAAAACTCAGTATGTAAAAGCACATTAGATATTTCAAAGCCAATTCTTGTACTAAAAAATGACTTTAAACTCCTAATAACTAAACCTTGACGGCAACCTATACGTCTATCAACAGATAAGTACATAAAGAAAATGTGGCATTTACATATGCATACACAGTGAGGTACCAGCGTGCTATAAAGAAGAAATTTGAGTCATCTGTAGGAAAATGGATGCACCTTGAAAACAGTGCGAAAAAAAGAAACAGTGCAAAGTGAAATAAATCAGATGCACAACCTCAAATAACATGTTTCTCATGAGAAATCCAAAGCATAAGCAACAAACAAACAACAATAAAGGGAAACGGAGCTAGAGCTACTGCAAATGGGAGGGAGAGCGACAGACGGAGGGAAAGGTGAAGAGAAGGGAACCTAAAAAGAATTAAATGTTCACGTACATGCAACAGATACCCACTCTAAGAGTGGTCATAGGGGCTGGGGATATAGCTGAGCAGCATAAGCGCCTGCCTGGCAAATACAAGGTCCCGAGTTCAATCCCCTGTTCCACACAAAATAAAATAAATAAAAGTAGTCCTTATATATCATAAATAGATGCTAATAAAAATGATTTCTCCAAAAGACAAAACAAAATGAAACAGAAAAAAAATACTGAGGTCCCCCTGGTATAGTATTCAGACCAAAGAGGAATGTCTTTCGCACACTTTCCAAGGGACAGCAGAGTCCCCGCCTTCCAGAGCCCGGCTGTCCTCGCACTCACCTGTCATCTAGTGCGCCCCCGACGTCACAGTCACAAGGCCGACAGCCATCCAAATCGTTGCTCAAACCCCAGTGCTGTGGCTGCAGGACAAACAATTAAGCCCACATTTAAAGGTGTGTTTCTGTAATCATACAAGAGACTCAGTAGGGAACAAGTTCTGGCGTGTCTCGGTTCCTCCATCGAATGCTTATTTTCATAGTGAAAGCAAAAAGCCAACAAATGGAAGGAGTATTTTGAAACAGTGACAACTCCAGCCACAGGTCACTGGAGTCAGAGGTTACAAGGACTCACAGGCCAGCGCCTGATCCCAGGCTAGCTCTGTCATGCTCCACATGATTAGTAAGAACAAGCAGTAGACACCGGATTTCTTCGTTCAAACTACTCTAAGAGTTACAGCAAGTATTTGGCAGGCCTTTCCATTTCTCCTCAGTTCAGTCTGCCCTGAATCCCATGAGGAAACCATCTGAGGGTTCGTCTATGTGAAAACACGGCCCAAAGCTAGGAGTTTCCTCACAACTGAAGTGGGATCACCGAGGCTTGAGGACAGAGAGGCGGAAATAAGAAAGGGAACAACATCAAAATAGAAATGATCTCTGCATCTTGAAGATGTTGAGATAAAAGCAGGTCCACAGATTTAAATCAGACTTGCGCAAATCTATTTAAGAACCTAGCAGATTATATTCAAATTTATAGTCAGTGATCATAAAGAGTCCATGGATCCCCCAAGTTACAAAAGCAAAGAATATCACAGAAGATGCACAATTTTCTACAAAATTTCCTCCTCTAATTATTTCACTGAGGTAGAGCATTTGCCTGGCATGTAAGGACCTGCATTCAATCTCCAGTACCATAATAATCAAATATTAACTTCACTTTATAATCACTACAGTGAACTTTCTGTTGTACTTCCTTGCAGATTTTGTTTTCCTTGATTTTTTTTCCTCACAAAACATTATTCATATTTTGTGAGCTTTTAAAAAAATTTAATGACATAAGTATTTTCTCATGTTATTGTCATTTTTGAAGGCAACTACATATCACATTGTATGGAAGTCCCCAGATTTTTTTAACTGTGTTCCCACTGTTGTTTCCAAGTCTTCTTCCACAACAAATAAAAAGCCACAATAAGACCTCTGGTGAACACAACTTTGTCCGATCTTCTGATTATTTCATTAGGACAGATCCCCACTAGTGGGATTCCTTGGCCAAGGGCTAAGTACATTTCCACAGGCTGCTGACAAAATTCTTCTCTCTGCCCCATGCTTCTCAGAGCACAACCTCAACTGCATTTCCAGCAGCAGCAAACAAGTATTAATACCTCACCATGTCCTCACTTGCAGGAAGCTTCCTCATTTTCTAAAACTTGTTAATTTGTCTGTAAAATGGCACTTCACTATGAGTTTCTCCCATAATTCTAACTGTGCATCTTGTCAAATTACTCACTAGTAACTGACAATGTAAATTTCCTAGTTGCATCTGCTAACAGTAACACGTAAGGGTGATGGCAGAACCCATGACAACGAAGCAGCCCCTTTTGAGTAGTGTTCAAAAACTACTCACGATTTACCTACCAGACACTGGTCACAATGCTGTCCTGTCACCAGACGCTTACAGTAGCAAGCACCAGTCCCAGAATCACAAGGATTCCCACCAGGAATCGTTCCCAGAGGATTGCACGCACAAGCTGCGTTAAAGACAAAAGCAGGCTCAGAACCACGAACCAAGTGCGTCCCAAGCGGTGGAATTACTAAGCAGAGAGGGAGTCAGGCACACGGGAGAATTCCCAGACTTCCTACCAAACAGACTTACATTTACAACCAAGGGGATCCTCAGCACTTAAGTCATAAAAGCCTTCTTTGCAAATATCACAGTGCTCTCCTTCCACGTGTAATTTGCACCGACACTGGCCGGCAATGAGCCCAGTGGAGAAATCAGTGTAACTGTCACAGATGCCTCCATTCTGAGAGCCAGCCGGATCACACGTACACCCTAGCACAACAAAAAGCACCAGGTTAGAATGCTGGAGACACAGGTCTCTGGATAAATATATACACTTCCTTCCACCCTCCGAGCTACAAAGATCAGCCAGGGAAGGGCCCGTCTCCAACCATCACTGACTGGTGCTGCCTCGGATGCTGGAATGCGGAGTTCTGACTCACGACAAGGACTACACGTGAAAAGCAACGGCAGCAGATCCCGCGGGTGACACCCCCAACATACGTTCACAGACGTTGGGGTCCCGGATGTCCCGCTCTGGGTGCTGGTAGTAGAACGGTTTGCACTGCTCGCAGTTGCGGCCCATGGTGTTGTGCTGGCAGTCGTCACACACTCCCCCGCTGACGTTTCCGGTGGCCAGAAAAACCGCCATGTCAAAGTGACAAGAGCTGGTGTGCTCGTTGCAGTTGCACTCTGTGAGGCGAGACCACCGTCAGGCCTCCCGCACCTGCTTGCCAGGGCAGGTAGGGTGCCCACCCGGCACAGCACGGCCCTCACTGAGGCCAAGAGCCAGCAGCCAGCAGGCTCGTGTGGTGAGAAAGGCCTCCCCACTACACTGGTTTCAACCCTCCATCAGGCTGGAAACCTTAACTGCGTGAACTCTACTATGAAATAAAGTTATGAGGGGAAGAGGATGAGCTATCACAAGCACAGCGCCCCCCGGTGGGGAAAGCAGGAAATGCAAGAGTAGGAGGAAAGCTGCTTTGAGGTCCCACTGGGGCAATGGGGTGGGGTGTCCTTCATGACTCCAAGGCCCTCCTGCCTGACAGCTTGCTGGCAAAGAACATGGGGTGAAGGATGGGTCCACCATCCCCGCCTCTATACTAGGTTGGCCTCTTGGGGTCCGCTTCAGAGCCTTGTGGCCAGTCTTCTTAGGTGGGCATTTCTTTCTTCTGGCCTGCTTGGTTAAATTTAGCTTTAATCATACCAGACAATGCACACCAATTCCACTGCCTGCTCACAGTGACGTTTAACTCAGCATGGCCTTCATGGATCTCTACGTTCCCTACCTCCTCTGTCCCTGGGCAGCGGGACACCTGCAAAGGGCCCAAGCCTCGCCCCACAGCCTAGCTCTCCTGCTCCCCTAGACAACCTCAGGAACCTCTCAGACCAGCTGGGCTCCACCCGCTGGCAAAGCCTGGACCACACCAGCTCTCAGTGCCTTCTGAACTTCCCAGGACAGTGCCCCTGCAGGGACACTGTGTCCAAATAACTGCGACTTGGGTTTTGCAGGGGTGCAGGAGTGCTTGCAGCTACTGCACAGAGCGAGGCTGGGGGTGGGTGGGGGGTGGGGGTGGGGGAAGGGAAGGAGGGAGGAAGGAGGAAAAAGGAAGGAGGGAGAGAGGAAGGGGGGGAGGGAGGGATGAGTGCCAGAGGCCACAGACAGGCTGGCAGGGAAACAAGGCCAGAAACCCTGCTCTGTATCTCTTACACCGTAGCCATCTACCAAGCCATCCATTGCCTTCATTTTCCCTGTATGTCATCGTGTCCTGAAAACAGATCTAATGCCAAGGTCAACGCCTTGGTCTTCCTGGGTCAGTGCCAAACACATAGGTGCTGCTAGTTCACAGTACTAATATAACTGGATGCATACTGTTGGTCTCTTAGGGGCTTCCAGGGAAAGCCGGGAGAAAAGGGGCAATTAATCCTGCGTCCCTCGGCCAAAGAGGATGCTGTCTGAGCACGACTAAGCTGAAAACAGACGGGAACCTAGCTGACGCCAAGTGTCCCTTACAGAGACTTACTTTTACAGGCATTGCTGTTGCGACCTTCAGCGGGTCTCCAAGGTAAATCGTGGTAGAAATCCATGCACAGCTCACAGTTGAGGCCCTTGGTGTTATGCCGGCACATGCAGTGCCCGTGCACCTAGGAAGTTAGGCAAACAGGAAAGACAGAGTGATTGGCTCAATGAGATCGACAGCCACGCTTTTTCCACAGCCAACAGAAAGCACAAACTGCTTTTTTCCATACTAATCGTAGCTCCCCACAGTGAGGGTCTCTGTTCTTATTTGCTTCCTCCCGTACCAAGTGCTATCCATTCGTCCATGGCTATGACCCCACTGCTACAATCATTCCCACTGCATAACAGATGTGCAATAAATGTTTCATTGCGCATCTGTGAAAAGAACCCACATGAGCAAACTTAGCAAATTAAGATTTAAAAAAAAAAAAAAAAAAAGGACCTTAGGAATTTAAAAAAAACCTATGGGAGAGGAATCTACAAAAGCTAAGATGCACAACTACTTGTCCATGTACCAGCCAATAACCAGCTCGTATCACCGCAAGGCTTACTTACCACTGGGCCAGGTTAATCGTTTGGTTTTTGCTTTAGGTATAGCACTTAACAGTTTTTTTTCCAACCAAAGTGAAACTTCAAAAATCCATCATTTACTTTTTTTTCCCCTTCAAGTAGGAAAATAGAAAAATCTGAGAGAAAGATACAAATTAATTTGGCCCCAGGTGCCTGTGCTATCCTGTCTTACCACAAGGCACATAAATGATGACCAAGCTATCTCTGCTTGCCAAAAAACGCATATACTTGGGCACTTAACCTTACTGCTAGTTTCCAAAGAGTAGAATTCAGGAACAGGACCAACAGGTCCCCTCTGGACCAGTTTTAACAGGAGTGCAGGTAGGTGAAGATTAAAATCCCCTCATTACTAGGTGGTTTAACAAAACTGAATGTAAACTTCAAAGGTCAAACCACAAGAGTCTAGCATTGGAATAAACAGAACAACACTCTTACAATACACAGGCAGGCGATAGGACCTTAGCTACACAGATCTGTTACACTTGAAAGTAAACAGACTCTACCTAGCATCTCCTGAAAGATGCAGCGATTAGATTTGAGACAGATTCCTCCCCTTGGGCTCTTTAAATACCCAACAAGTTTATACATAGACTTCTCTGCCTGGAGTAAAGGGCAGGCAGGAATTTGAGGGCAGAACACACTCAATCCCAGACTCTGACAGATTAACAATCTTTGAGAAGAGAACAGAGAACAAGGAAAGGCACACCCTTCGTGCGGGGAGGCCGGAGGGGGTGGAAGGGATGGAGGGCAGGGGCAGGAGGGCTCTTTAGCAAGTGACTTGGAGGAGCTGCTTCCCATCTGGTGCGACAATCCCCACTGGTCTGAGAATTCTCTTAGAAGCTACTTATTAAATTACAACACCCTAACCCACTCTACCCATTTGGCAAATCATCCAGTGCCAAATTTCAACACATAATTTGCAGACACAATGTAAAAATGGGCAAGGAAAGACATTAGAAAAGAAAGCAAACTCCATTTGCTTTCTAAATGAAATCCCATGGGTCTGGATTAGGATTTCTGGCTTCTTTGGACTGGAATCAATTTGTACAGTGTAGCATACAGACTGAATTCTTGCGGTTTTTAATCTTCCTTAATGTAAAGGCAGACTCAATTGTTATTTAGACAACTTTTTAATCCTTGGAGACTAAACTACCTACGTGAGCAACAGCCTACAGCAATGAATTCCAGAAATTAATTCAGGGTCTATAAAATAAGCAGTCTGTACCTTCTGGTAGTTCAAGAGAAAATTAAATTCAAAGAGAACATCAGCAATTGGCCACCAACAGGGTGCTGCTGTGAGGGGCTAAATACAAGTGGAAAACTAAAACCTCTAAAAAATGTGAGAGGCTTTGGAGAAGACGAGCTTCGACTTGCTCCCTGCATCGCCTGCACAAGGAGACGGCCACAGGCAGGCTGACTCACCATCCCTTCCACTTCTTCGCTGAACCCATCCACAGGGGCGCACTCGCTGGCATGGCCATAGCAGAAGCAGTTTCCTCGAACCACCATATCGTACACTGCGTAGTAGTACTTTTCTCTGATTTCCATTCTGGAATCCAGAAGGTTATCTCCCAAGGTATGCAGCTTCACGAACTTGATTCTCAAGTTGGTGATTTTTAGCAGGTCTATAAAGGTCAGCAAGAAGACAAAAAGGCTCAGCAAACAGGCATGAATTCCTGTGCAGCAACACATCCATCGCTTCTTCTCTTTAGAGCAAGACTTGGCATGTGGCAACGGGTTAAGCGAAGTTTACTCTTTGGCTGACCTAAATGACAACTGTGAAGCTTAACATAATGTGACAGCTCCTGGAAGCAGGGAAAGGTATTGACTTCCCACCTATTTAATAAGAATATCTGATCTGCGATGCATCTGTTAGCAGACCAACAGCTTCAGGCAGAAGTGTGAACGTGGGGGAATGACAAGCATGCGATTACACGGATGCCGCTGGCCCCCTGTAACCTAAAGCATTCCAGTGGCACTCGCTCCGCGGCAACTGGTGAGTCTCCAGGTCAGAAAATTCCATTCAGGTGGGAAAGGACTTATTAAAGCGCTTCAATTTTTCATTATTATGATAACAGGAATACAATTTTGCATCTTTTTTGGAGAAAATATTATCTGAATTTGTCCACCATTTAATAAAATGTAAGGGGCCAGGGACATGGCTCAGCAGAATAAGCACTTCCCTGGCAAGCGCAAGGCCCTGAGTTCAATCCCCAGTTCCACAAAAATAAATAAATAAAATAAAATAAAATAAAATAAAATAAAATAAAATAAAATAAAAATAAAATGTAATTTACCAAAATAGATTAAACATTGTAATAACTACAATCAGGGAAAAAATATCTCGACAAGTTTTTAAGCAACATTTTAGCTTACGATGTTTTTGTCCTACTAGTTGTAAAAGACGTTTCTAATTTATCTGCGCAACATGGAAAACATGGATAAAGGGCCTTTAGCACTGTAGGGTATCAGAGCAAATTATTTTTTCCTAAACAAAAGCTAGCCATGAACCAATTTCTCTTATTTCTTCTTTCATTCCTGGTCTACAGACCTGTTCGTATTACAGAAGCTAGCCTAACAGTCACAGCATACAGGAACTGGATAAAGCAAAAGCTAATCAACAGGGCCGGGGAGATGGCTCAGTGGAATAAGTGCTTCACTGGCAAGCGCAAGGGCCTGAGTTCAATCCCCGGTTCTGCCAAAAAAAAAAAAAGCTAATCAACTTTCTCCACTAGTACTTTCTTAATTATTGTTCCTATCAAAGGGATCCCAAGAGACTGGTGAGTCCATCTGAACTCTGTAGGTTAAAATGGCTCTCAAGCTCTATTTTCATTTATGCTGCTAGACTCTTACAATTCATAGTATAGGATGAAAGAGCGGTGCCCAATGCATCGCACACTTTCAAAGTCCAAAAGCAATTTTCAAGCTTTATAATATACTCATGGCTTACAATAACGACTACAGAAATGGCTGGGTGTAGAAATGCAAAGTCCATGTGCTAAATTAGGCTCTTTGTTGAATCACAGTGGAAAGGGAGAAGCCACGTTCCTAAAGGGCTCAATGGTGGCCAGAAAGGCCAGCTCCTTCCTGTGCAAGGTTTCTGCAAAAAGTGAGCACAAGCACCCACAGACAAGAGGCCCAACAACAGATGTGAAGGGCAGCTGGAGTATTTAGAAATCCTTCAGCTGATCTTTGTGGAAGCCCTCAGAAGAGTCAATACACTAATCTTCCCGTCTCCTGCCATATTTAACAGCTAAGCCTCCCGTGGTCTGCTTTTCTATGGTAAGTCACTTCTGAAGTGTCTCAGAGGTTTGAACAATAGGGATAATTTAAGAAATATTGTTCCCTTGATTACAAAGGAAACCCAAAACACAATCTGCTAACATGGATCTAACAAAGGAATGGGTTTTCTGATGCCACTGAGGAACAAATGGAAAAAAAATTAAAGTTGTAACAGGAAGACAGTCCTCAAAAACCCACAAATTTCACCTACCAAGGAGCAGTTGAGTCTTTTCTAAGGACTCAGACGGGGTTTGTCCTGGGGGCTGTGAGGATGTTTTTTACAACCAGATTTAGTGACACGAAAGGACAGGCCATAGCTCACTCAGAAAAAAACAGAGCTGTACATGTCATTAAATATTTGTTTTACAATAGCGCAATGGAATAAATTACAGTCCAGACTGTGAGTCACATGTAAAAATAATTAAGAGTAGGAAAGCTGCACTTCTCTAGCAATATTCCCTGGCCTTCTTCCACCCTATTCTTCCATGCTTCAACCATAGAAGTTCTAGGTTTACAATTGGGCCAAGCACAGCTGGGAAAGAGAAACAAGCAGCAGCCTCGACTCAACTGATTACACCTTTCTAGCAGGGAGGTCACTTCATACCGCCTCCGGCCCACATGACCAAACCTGGGCAAGCCCTCAACTGCAGCTATGGCCACAGCGGCAGCATCAACAGCAGCTAAGCCTTCCTTCATTGATGAACACTTTCTGTACACGAGGCATTTGGTTTTATGGTTGTTTTTGTGGCACTGAAGATTCAACTCTGGGCCTTAGCACTGAGCTGCATCCCCAGCTCTTTTTCATTTTTTAAAATTATGAGACAGGGCCTTGATGAGTTGCCCAGGCTGGGCTAGAACTTGCAGTCCTCTTGTCTCGGTTCTCCAGAATTCAGAGACTGTGTGCACTAAATCAGTTGTCACTTTTACACATCAAATAATTTTCCTGAAGGTCGATACTACTATCTCCACCTAGAGATGAAAACTCAACCTCTACCCACCACCTCCAATCTCAAGTAAATTGGTTGTTCCAGGTCACACAGCTACAATGGGGTAGAAATGGGATTTTAGTCCAGGTGTGACTCCAAAGCCCACTCTTAACCACCACACACTCTGCTTCCCAAGAACAAAATGTAATCTGGGACGGCACAAACATATCTGCTGATGGTCAGAAAGAGCTCGGAACTGAAGCTGACAGGAACCGTCTGTCCTTTAATAGCCACACCACACTATCTAAGAAACCTAGTGTGCTCGTCTGTTAATGGAAATTTAAATCTTATCTTATTGAGTAGAAAGAGCATGGCTGACGCTTCTGGTTTTTCTCAGTATTCTTTCTCTGACAAGAGCCCTTGCTGAAAATTGAGCAGACTACATGGCCTCCTAGCTAGAGCTGTTTCCTGGTATCTGTTGCCATGTACCCTGTAGCTCACTGTGGTCAGTGGACCCAAACAGAAGCAATGTGGATGAATTCCACGTGGGATGAGGGCATAGGGGTGGTGACCTAACTGTGCACATGGATAACCCCACCCATCTGGCTAAGATGGGTGGCCTTACACTAAAGTTACCAGATTTTGGAGGAGGAGGGGCCAAAAAAGGTTGGTCACTTTTTTTGTATAACCCAAACGTCACATGAAATATAGATATCCTAACCACAGACACCATACAGAACACATTTATATCAGTCACAAATATTATGCAGGATAGAGTCATTCTAAAATCTACAACCGAAATTTCATGGGGCATCACTGGAGAATTTTATCTGGCAAGCTTAATGATGGCAACTAAGCTACATTCCTTCCCTGCCAATCCCTCTGTATAAAAGAGAAAGAAACTTTTATTGGAGTAACTGTTTTATGTTTTAATTTTGGCTTGAGGCAAATTGCAGGTTGGACCTCGGGCCCCACACATTCTAGGCAAGCTCTTTTCACTAAGCTAAATCTCAGTCCTGAGCAACTATATTATGGGGACACTTAGTTACAATAGCTTAATCTACATGAATATACTGAGTGATAAAATAAGGTAGGATAACCAACTATATATATATATATATATAATCAAAAGGTGTTCTTCATCAGTGAAAACATTACAGATAATTTCAAGAGCTTCTGGTAGAATCTGCCAGAAGAAGGAAGAAAACATCAGCATATTTAGCACAGAATATCTAGTTTCTAGGTAGTAGGGTTCTAGGTGATACTTAGTCCATGAATGTTGCTTCTTATCCATGTTTGTACATCAAAACAAGCTTACTCTGTATCCTCGGGCTGTAAGGATCTTCTATTTTAAAAGCAGGATCTAAAGCGCGAAATATCACCTAAAAAATACACAGAAGAGTGGTTGGCATCTTGACCAAAGGCAGACTTCTAAGTGGGAAGCACAGCAAAGAAGGAAACCCACCTCTCCCTCTGTGGAAGGCTCGATGTCGGAGTATCGGGAGTCACAGATGATGTCATCGACTTTCTTCATGGGGCCGGTGGAAATGCCAGGGAAAGAGCTCTCACAGTCATAGGCGAAGTATCTGTACACACCCCAGGTTTTCCCAAAGTCAGAGGATCGCTCAATCAGCATCGCAGCGGGACGGAATGACTAAAAGCAGGGAGCAAAGAGTCTCACTGGACAGTTTTTATTGGTGATCCGTAATTTCATATGTAAACACAGATGAAAATGTCTCTCACTGTGTGCCATGACCCCTGACTGCACAGGGTTGGTATTTTGGGCTGGGGCTGGATTTCAAACACATCAAGCTCTTCCATGGGGCCTTCTTCTTAAAGATTCTACTCTCTAAATTTTGTACTGTTCCCCATATTTCTATATACTACTAGGCTGTTTCTCTTTAGGAGCCGATTCGGAACAGCCCCTAATAGCAAACAAACTGTATGCATAGTCCTCGGCTCATACTGCTGAGTATTGGCGCTGATTTTTTCCTTTCTTCACGTAACCACTCAGGGGCGTGGGTCTGCCTGCCCCATCAGCCACCTACATGCTGCATATCTGCTATGCACAGCCCAAGACAGGACTGAGGGGGCATCAGAAGGCTACAGTACAACATGACACGCACCACAGCAGAGGCCCCTGGGGTGCAATTTCAGAGAACACGAAGTAGGAATTAATAAACTAGGGAAGCCAACAATTCCACAGCTAGGTATGCACCTAAAATATTGAAAACAGAGATTCAAGGCATTGCATGTGACTGTGTAGCAGCACTGGTCGTGCCAGCCAAAAGGTGGGAACAACCCAAGCATCTATTGGTGGCCAGATGGATAAACAAAATGTGGTGGGTAGACACAATGGGCAATTATCTAGCCACGAAAAGGAATTCTGAAACTCGCTACAACATGGATGGACATTGAAAACACTGTACTAAGTGAAAAATGCCCACAGGATTTCAAATAGTACTGCATATGATTTTTGCTTATGTGAAATATCAAGGATAGCTCAACACTATCTAGGATAGCAGAGATAGAAAGCGGGTTAGAGGTTACCAGAGGAGGAAGGAATAAAAAGGGCAATAGAAGAGTTAACCCAAGTGACTGCAGAATTTGTTAGGGATACTGAGTTAAGTTCTGGAAACCAACAGGGGTAATGGTTGAACAAAACTGTTAACAGAACTAACACCACTGAACTGTATGCCTAAAAATGGTTAAGGTGGCGAATTTTATGTTATACATATTTTACAACCAAAAAGAGAAAAGAAACAAGGACCAGGTATATAGCTCAGCAGCATAAGCGCCTATCTGGCAAGTGTAAGGTCCTAAGTTCGATCCCCAGTACCAACAAAAAGAGAAATGAACACAAAGAACAAATGAGCTAGGAAATGTTTCACATGGATGGCATCATACTGGACCCTTACTAAGTTTTCCAAGGAGGCACAAGGGGGGGGGGGCAGGAAGGGGCTGGGTGCCGGTGGGACCGTATTATATGATATGCTGAGGGGCTTTACTCTTTTTTTAACAATGAAAGGGGAATGCTGAAAGACTTAAGTGGATGAAATGAAATGATCAGATTATATTTTAGAAAAATAACTCCTATAGCAGGATTTTTTTTTGAACACAATAAAAACAAGACACAGGGAAACTAAGTAGACAGAGAAAAGATGAAGGTTTTGTCTTAATGCAAACAGTTACATCACAGATTGAGACAGGTATGGAACCGACTCTGAAAATGTAGTGACAGCAGCATATACTGAGCTGCACTTGGTGACTGATCCAATCTCAGTGGAAAGGGAGGGATAGGAAAGAGACCCAAGGCACCCGAGCTTGGGTAGCTGTGCATATGAGCCGCCATCGATGAAGACAGAGGAGCAAAGACATTTGGGCTGGGGCTGGTCATGTGTGTCTGCTACATGTGAGGGGGGCACACTGGTCTAGCACTCAGCTGTGAGAATCATGCAGGAGTCAGCGTATAGGTGTGATGTTGAAACCTCCAAGTATATAATGTCTGCAGGAAAAGCAGCAAAGGGCAAGATAAAGAAAGTCAAGATCAGCATCCCAGAAAAATGCATCAGTGAGAGTCCAGTCCTTCCAAATCCTGAGGTTGGAGATATAACGAGTGCAGCCTGGTCAGGAGAGGGTAGCACAGGTAAAAGGGGGTTATCAGGGCGGGCTCTAAACCAACACAACTGGTGGCTGTTTAAAAAGAGGCAATTAGGGCTGGAGAGATAGCTCAGTAGAATAAGTGCTTGCCAGGCAAGAGCAAGGACCTGAGTTCAATCCCCAGTTCCGCCAAAGCAACAACAGCAAGAAAAAAATTATAAATTAAAAAGAGGCAATTATCACACACATGCATGGAGTGGGGGACCCAGGTGAAGCTAGAGGGAGAGGACGGCCATTCCACACCAAGGATGGGGGTGCTGCAGAAGACACTGACCCTGCCCACACCTTGTTTTCAGGTTTCTGGCCTGTAGGACTGAGATGGAATGAGGGCTGCTTCAGCTGCTGGGTCTGTTGTAGTTGCTCGTGGTAGCCCTAGGAAATGACTACACCTCCAGACCCAACTGTCTTCCAGATGAGGAAATTGACGCTCAGAAACACAGAGTTCAAAACTACAATCAGAGCTTAGATTCAAACCTTGGCTGAATTCAAGCAAAACTATCCTTCTCCTTCTCAGATAATGGCACAGTAAAAAGTGAAAGATTGACTATCGAAGGGGAAAGAGGAAAAAAGAAGGCTCGAAACCAAAACTGGATGGAGAGTTGGGAAGGGCACGGGAGCAGGGTGGAGTGCAAGCAAGACACAGTGATGGCACTTTTGAGTCAGATTACCATGGAGGAAAATCAGGAGAATGTTAAGCCAACCTAGAAAACAAAAGCTAAAGAAAGATAGCTACTCCTGAATTAAAACCAACGGGTGACAAAGTTGGGTGACAGGTAATGGTGTCAAACATCCTTGTGTCTTCCTTAATAATCCAGAAGGTCTTTTGCCCTCATTAAGAGTCAGCAGAACGCAAGCAAAAGATTACATTTTGACAAATGCCTAAGTTACTCTAGATGTTACTAAACTGAAGAGCGCAGTATCAGACTAAGATCTTAGAGTAGTAGGACAGGAGGAATCTTAGTGATGGAGAGGACCTCGTGTGTCAAAAAGGCATGGCCCCACCACCACCACCAGGCCCCAGCGGGAGACTCGGGAGGACCGGAAAGGACAGGCCCAGCCTGAGGTCATTGTGTCCAAGGGGAGCAGAGAGAACACAGACTGGGGCAGTCCTGGTTACACTTCCTTCTTTCTTCCTTCTGGAAAACTCTAAATCCCAAAGGGCCATTAACAAATTGTCCAGTCTCCTGTGAAGTTAATAAGTTGCTGGAAACCAGAACACACTTCACTTACTGATGGGAAGCCTTTCCCTGCTCTGCGTTGAGTTCTGACAGCCCAAGGGAACTCATCCTGTACTGTCAAGCTGGTCCCATGCTAACGTATGTGAGAACAAATACACGTTCTCCACCTGCACCCCCAGGCTCAGTTCCCTTCCCGCCTTCACCAGCGCAGGGGCTCTGCCACCCTCCTAGTTACTGAGCTTAGTCCTCTAGGTGCTTTTTGGTGCATCTATTTCTTTTCTTTTTTCCTTTTTTTTTTTTTTTTTTTGTGGAACTAGGGGTTGAACTCAGGCCCTTGCACTTGCCAGGGAAGCGCTTATTCTACTGCGCCATCTCCCCGGCCCCATGGCACATCTATTTCCCTCTGCTGCTGTCCCTTAACTTGCCCCATCTCAAGGCCAACCTTGGACCCAAAGGCATCGAAGTGTTGCCCTTAGGAAATGGGCTCCCCCGGCAACAACTCTCAAAGGCAGAAGTAACCAAGGGATCAGATGGCGGTAGCAGGAGTAAGCAAGATGGCAGCGTGCTTCCCAAGGACAGCCTGAATATCCTGGTCCCAGAAATCAGAAATGGTCCACCAAAACCCAAACTTTGTGAGTACTGATCTCACGAAGTTGAGAGGTTTGTGGTTTTTTGTTTTTTGGTTTTTTTTTAATATATTTGGTTGTTACAGAGTCTCACTATACCTCTGAGACCCATGGTGATCTTCCTGTTTTCAGCTTCCCCAGAGCTGGGATTACAAGCATAAGCCACCACGCACAGTGTAGGTGGCCAGCCCAGCATGTGCCAGGGACTGAACCCTGGCCCCTGCACTTGCCTAAGCAGGCGCTTAGTCTGCTGAACTATCTTGCTGGCCCTAGGTTTTGGATTTTGAAGCATCTAGGATTTCCAGAGTGGAGATGCTCAACTGTTAGGTTCTAGGCAAGGACAGCAGAATCTGAAGAATTCTAAAAATCTGACACACTTCCGGTCTTAAACTTTTTGGAGGAATGCTCAACCTGCAATACCCGAGGGACTCTGCTTACCCCCTGGGGCTCCCTCTCCGTGGGAATCACAGTGCCCCTACCCTTCACAAAGGCGGAGCTCGCTCAAGGCCTTGCCTCTCCAGTCCCAGGCCCTGCTCTCTAGCTCCCTGTGGGCTCCTCTCCGACATACAGTGCTTGTCACCGCTGCCCTCTTCCCAGCAATGCTCACACTCCTAGGAAAGGAGCAAGGTCGTCCCCACAGGAATCTGCTTCCTACCCCTTCCCTCACCACATGGGGCCCAGACAAATCCACAGTGCACTTGCTGAACAAATCACATCAGCTGTCCCCGGCCCAGCAGTGGCTTCTCTTCCATTTCCTCCCACTGAAATTCTGCTCACCCTAAGCCAGCATCAAGAGCGGTCCCAATCTGCTTTTTCTTCCATCCAGGCTAACATGGGGATCACCTCCTCCATGCTAAAGTACATCACTGATAAAAATTATCAAGTTAACCCTGTGCTCAGAGCAAAGGACTGTGTCATCAGAGCCTGCTTCTCTTGCTATTTCAGCACCAGGGCATCAAGGGCTCAGGCCACATGCCAAAGAACAGAACCAGGATCCACACCCAGGTCCGCTTGGGCCCATATATGCTATCCTCCCTGGAGTTAGGACCCAAAAGACTCTTTCTCTTTAAACCGAAGTCTGGAAAAAAAACAAACCAAAAACTGAAGTCTGACCACTTGAACTCATCATTCACATCTCAGTTCAACCACTGCCTCCTCTGTTTGACCTTCTGTGCTTATGTGAGAATTTCATCTTTGCTCCATTGTATTCACTTGAATGAGTATTCAACTGTGGAATATGTGCCCAGAGGACTATGGAACACAAATGAGCCCACAACTACCCATATGTGCGGACATCTTTTACTTTACTGAAGTAAAGCATAAGACTGTCCACGCTGGTAAAGGTGATTATGATTATGTGCCGGTGTCACATAACATAAGGGCCATACCCTCACATGTGGCTGAGTTTCCAGCTAACGACCAGGTTCAGTGTGTAGCCAATGAAAGGACAAGCTTGGGGGCATGGGTACTGGAGGAGTTACTCCATGAAAGCCCTCCCTCCACTCTGGGATCAGATGTCAGCATCAACTTTTCTCTCTGGCAGCCACAACTGCAGTCCTGGGAACCTCGGGCCCCAGGCCATCACCTCCTGACTCCCACGCCCTCTCAGGCTTCGGTGGCAGAATATGTGAGACCTTCACAGCTCTTTGCCCACGTGGTAAACCCACCCTCAGCACCTCTTCTTCATATGAGAGGATGTGGATACGGACCCCAACTCAAATGAAAACTATCCCAAAGTGATTGTAATCTGGGACACAATAAGCAAATGACGGGTTTCATGTGTACTTTAGGCCATGTGAAGTCTGTCATTTCCAAGCAGCTGCTTAAGAAGAAACAAAGGGACTTTGTACGGACATTCCCTAGTCCTGGAGTCATTTTACATCTCAAAAAGAAATGATGAGAAAAATCTGCACTGAGGAAAGCACACACATTTCTCAAGGAACTACAAAACTCTTCCCACAAATTTTGCAAAGCCTTGAAAAACTAAAGAAAATATGCTTCCTTTTCAGTTACCAAACACCATTAAAACATAAACACACAGGATTAGAGATTTAGTCTCCAGATGTTTTATTGTGGTTTGGGAATGATTCAACGCTGCCTCTCTCTAGGGGGAAATAAGCAGATAGCTAATTAAAAGTTTATAGTTGAATTATCTTAGAGAAGAGCCTCACTGTACTTACAGATGTGAAAATAGAGGGTTTGTTCAAGGCAGTTACTCATGCCCATGTTTTAAAAGTTGTTCAATTATCCCAACTGATGGCAACAATAATAATTAACTTTCCATTTAAGCCACGTCACGCGAGATACTCATTTTGAAAGGGAAATTACCCAGTTTGCCCCTGTGTCTTTTGTGAGAAAGTCAGGGATTTCTTACCTTAAAAGTCATGATGAGATGAGTAAAATGGAATTCTGCTTCCAAATCCAGTTGGATAGTTACATTTTCCACACCTACAGATTTTTTTAAAAGAAAGAAGAGGAAGGAAAAACAGGGCCATCAACAGCTGTGATTATTAAGTTATCTTTCCTCTTTGCATTCTATCTTAAACTGAGGTTAAAGATTACTGACAATAATCCTTTGTTCTTATTTAGGTAGTGAAGTACATGGCAGAATGATTCTTCAGATTTCCACAAATCATTCTGGAGTTCACCTGACTGAATCTGCTCACTGGATCAAGACACTTGGCAGAATACCTTTGGAGGCTGTCAAGAAAGACAACTCTCTTAAGAGCTGTAAGACAAACCCAGCGCCCTAAGCTGAAGGACTCTCAAAAGGGAATAGGGGTGCACTTCCTGGGCAAGGGAGGGGGTCAGCTTGCTGTGTGAAACCCCCGGAGTCAATCCTCCTGCAGTAGAAACATCAATACTTTTTTTCTCTATGCCACAGCAAAGAAAATAAATAACATCTACCACATATGTTAGTTATACAGCAACTTAGAAAACCCTATCCGATCCCTGAAGGAACATTTTTGGATGCATTTCCACAACTGAAAAACAATGTCAAAGAGACAAAGAACCAGTCAAATAAATAAACTGGTGCAGAACAAATACCAACATCTTCCCTTTCAGAGGAAAGCCTGAACAAACACAGGAGTCTTCGCTTGGCGCCCTGAGGGTCAGCGGGCCCCACTTGAGCACATTAAAGACTCCACTGGGATTCCAGGGATAGGAAGCCCCTCCCTCACCCCCATGCCCATCCTGCCCAATGGGTCAAGGAGACTCTGCCTCATTCCGAAGACTGGAGGAAGCCTTGGGGGTCCATCTTCCAAAGCAAAAGAACTCTTAAATGCGGGAAGACAGGAGTATGTCAGAATGAATCATGTCACTGCCTGGTGTATTTTCAGGAAATCAGTAGGACCTTTTGAAATAAACTCTCCTGCTGGAAAACTGCCAAGCCAATTGAGGGGAAAAAGTGGTCACTGGAACGGATATGAGCAAGTTGGAATGTTAAAGAAAAACACACTACAATCCTACTAACAAACCTTATCTAACTTATTAAAAAGAACCATATTACAAAACTACTCTAGACATTTATTTTTCAAGTGAAATGTTGCCTAAATGACTTCTATCTCTCTCTTCCAGGCCTTTAAAAACTCCTAGTTATTTGTTCACAATTAAGAGAAAGCAAAATAAAATACAAAGCAAAACTCAGTACTATTCTTGTAACCTAAGAGCATATGCAGCAACGTGTGACCCCAAGCACATTCCACTTAAATTCACAGCCTGATAAAGTACTGCGCTTTAGGCTTTTTCTCTTTTTTAAATATGGGAACAAAGGCCCATGGAGAAGAGAAACAAGGGTCATTCTTCTACTGCATATCTGATTTTTCAGATCTAGGAACAGATCATCAGGAAGGGTCCATTGAAAGCATCTGCACATTCCAAGCGTGTCTCTGGGCCCAACCACTGGCATTTTAAGTGCCACCTACGTAAGCACAACCTGCATAACACATTCACCAGCTAGAGACAGTCACATACATTGAGAAAGTCTAATTGTGAGCTGTCAGACAACAGAGATGACAGGGAAAGGAAAGTCTGGCTTGAAAGGCCAAGCTCCATCTGTCCAACCTTATCTAATCTCTGTGACTGAGTTTGCAAAACCTTTCTGGCATCTGGATTCTCCTGTTCCAACAATTCAAAGATGCAAAAATGGATTAGCTGAAAAACCTTCATCCAGAACCACATCACATGAAAAGCTATCTTGGGGCCAGGGAGATGGCTCAGTAGAATAAGTGCTTGCCTGGCAAACACATGGGCCTGAGTTCAATCCCTGGTTCCACCAAAAAAAGAAAAGAAAAGAAAAAGCTATCTTACTGCCTGTGGGCTAAACTGGGGACAGTCCTGGTGCTCATGTCCAGGTACCTGTCTTTCTGTTTCTCTGGAGGACTATGGGTGGTGACAGAATGCTTGGCCCTCCCTGTTCACAATGAGCCCTATGCCATTTCAGAAGTCCTCTGTGACTCACATTTTTAGAAACTTCTTTCACACGGAACTACTAATGAAATGATTCTACTGTAAGAATTATTAATTGTAGAAGAACAAATCTCAACAGAACATGTTTTCTCAAGATTTCACTCTCCCAATGAAGTTTGTAACCACTGGACTCCCAAGCCTGACCAATAGCTAACCAACACCCCCTAGATATACCATATTCCAGAAAACTTTTACAAAGTAAGTGGTCAGTGACAAGGGAGTTTCTCTTCATAGACCAGTAAGTGACCGCATACCTCCCAAACTCCCCAAGCATCTGGCATGTAACAGATCTGGTGTACCCACGCCTTCTATGGCCAGGCTTCAGAGTTCATTTCTTTGACAGTCCTTTTCCATAATATTTTCGGAAAATCTCTAATGGTTAAGTATTTCTATTTTAATATACATAATGGAGTACTACTTTACCATAGAGGATATATTTGGGACATTTATAGGAAATGGATTCACCTTGAGACCACAATGTTAAGTGAAATAAGTCAGACACACAAACTTACATATTACACAGTTTCTCTGATATAAGAAACCCAAAATAGAAATAAATTAAAAAGCAAAATAAAAGGCAGGTAACAGGAGATAGGGAGCTGGCTATTCCGAAAGAGGGAAGAGGACCCAAAGATGGGAAGAAAGAGGGAAGGAGGAATTAAGAGTGTTATGGATATGTAACAACTCCTCACAGTGAATGCAAGCATCAAGTACTGCAATCATGTACTAATAAACCATTTAAAAACCATCTAGGGCTGGGGAGATAGGTCAACAGCATAAGTGCCTACCTGGCAGGAGCAAGGTTCTAAGTTTGATCCCCAGTACCAAAATATAAACCATCTAAAGGTACACTACTAATTAACAAACACATTTCTGGGACTGGGGAGACAGATTAGTGGCATAAGTGCCTGCCTGGCAAGAGCAAGGTCCCTAGTTTGATCCCTGGTACTGCAAAACAAACAAACAAACATTTCTGTTCCCTAATTTTCAGCATTTAACAAACATGAAAGGCAGGTGACCTCAGTTTCATTTTTTTTTTAAACTTTTTTGTTTGTTTGTTTTTTGGCGGAACCAGGGTTTGAACTCAGGCGCTTGCACTTGCCAGGCAAGTGCTTATTCTACTGCGCTATCTCCCCAGCCCCATAACCTCAGTTTCATAGCAATAACATCACAGCTGATGGGTTTACTAAGCCCAAATGTAAATGGCAAAAAAAGGCAAAGGAGTGGGGGGTCACACAATCATTAGGAAAACCACTTAACTTGGGTTCATAGCCACAGTGACAGACTGCAAAACTGCTCTGTTGTCCTGTTTGCATAGTACTACTATCACTACCAGGAAATGTTAGCAATTGAAAGGAAGGTGGTCTCTGATTTTTGCCCTTCCTCTTAGGGAATGCTACTATGTTCTACAAAAGAGCAAGGGCATAAAATACACAAGGTCTTCCACACCTTTCCCTCAGAGGGACCCTTAAGAAGAGGACTATGGAAAGCTCCTTAAATGGCTTGAAAGATTGCCTTCTTATAGGATATTTGCTTAAGGAAGGAGGATCAGGTTTTACCAAAGTGAGTTAGTACTCTAGGCAGTAAATCTGCCAGAGACCATAATTACAGGACAGAGAAGCCAATCATTATTACAAATACCCAGGACCCCTGGAACCCTCATGCAGGTTACCAATGGCATTCCACAGAATTCACTCCCACACCAACCACATACCGGTTTCGGATTGCCACCAAATCTTAAGGCGGTTTGGAGCAAATGTAGTAACCACATTTTCAATGAGATGGCTGTCAGGATTGAGGGTTTCATGATAAGGCTCTTGGGAATTGCATATGAAGCATTTTTTGTCCTCCTGAAAACAAGTTAGTTTCATGAGTCTAAGAAGCAATCTCATAAAAAAAAAAAATCCATCATGCCCACAAAACTCAAACCACTAAGCTTCAAGAGAGGTGAATGTGCAAAAAGTTACATGACATAGCACACTTTTCACTTTCAACTTATCCAGTCTAAAATACTCCTAAAAATAACTTACCTCCTTTCTAGCAACTTCAAGGCTAAAAGTAAAAGAGGGCATTGTTTCCATAAGACACTAATTTAATCAAAATCAAATTTCTAGGCTTAAGCTTTAATCTCAATAGCAGCTAGAGAGGCTTATTCTGAAGTGAAATGCAATAGTATTAAGAGTTTCTGCTGACGTAAAGCAAACTGAAAATAAAATGAAAAAGGATAATTTCTTTGACCTGATTTTCTAAAATGTGAAAGCAGCAGAGACCAAGTACTAGAAGTATTTAGGAGGCTTTGGGATCCAACAAGATTTGCTGGCTTTTGCTTTGCCCAAGCAGCAGAATGAATGGTAACCAACAGAACACCTTGCAGATTGCTCAGGATGTGTGAAAGGGTGCCAGGGTGTCCTGCTCTCTGGGTACCACCATACACTGGGGCTAATTCAGGGAACCCTAAAATGGACATAAACTAGGGCAAAGATGGGCTTTAGTTTTAAAGTAACTTGGAATTTCTCTCATTTTCTCTCTTCCAAAAATGGGAGCCATAGCCACCAGAGAAAGTAGAGGCAGAAGGCTTCTCTGTTTTGCTTTGTACTGCATCATGGCGAATCACAAGCACCCTTTTCCCCTAGGGAGCTTGGCTGTGTACCTAAGTTTTTCTGGAATGCAGATGATGTCCTAAGTCCAAAAATGATTATAACACTGAAGTATGTGGAAAAACCAAATAGATCTTATGAACAAAATTTGCTCAAGAATGACATTTATATAGGGCCCAAAGTGATTGACTATACTTTTACATTTGTATTTATTATTTTCTCCAAAAGGATTTGGAGGCTAATAAGATGTGTTCACCAAAATAAATGCTAGAAGTCAGGTATGCAGAGTTAAGGAACAAAGCTAAACATCTGAGAAATGCTTCCCTGCTTCCTTTCCTTAGGCCTGGTGAAAAGCACGGCACAAGTTCACATCTAATCATATAAACCAGCCTGGCTCCAGTTGCTTTTAAGACAAAGGTCTAATTTTCATTCAAAGCTGATTTCAGAACTTGGTGATTCATTGACAGGATGTCCTGGTTTCTAAAATAAATGTGAATACAACACCTTAGGTAAAATTTAAGCGCTAATATTAGAAAAGGTGACATCCACTGCCTCCATTAACTTGTAGTCAAGGAAACTAGTACTGGAGAACAATTACCAGAACTGGGGGGAAACAAATTTAATTATAGCCTCCCCTCTAATCAGAAGGAAGCAGTCTAGACATCTCTGTATAGAGCTGTAAGCCTGCGAATGGGAATTCACTCTACTACATTCCTTAAGTTTAATTTATCAGGTCTTCCAAACGGGTTTTCTGCTCTGGAAAACTTTTCATGCATCTGCCCCCAAACCACAGGACACTGTTGTCCTACTGGTGGGCAGGTAGGTGCACAGGTGAGTAGAGCAACTTGGCTTGGAACCTGCCCCATCTGTGGAGCCACTGCCTTTTGCTTTTCTTTTTTTTTTCCAAATCAAATTGGTAGGACAGTTTCAATAATTCACACACTGCATACATTCTTCCTAGTGGTTAATTGCTGTACAAGATGCGGACATGATATCCTATTTACAAACACCATTAGAACAAATCGCTCTATTCATTAAGAGAATGTAACTATATATCTATCCTAACCACTTTGAATATACAGATACAAAATGGACATTCATCTGTATGCCCTTTGTTATTGCTTTTCTTAAGAGACCAGAAATATCAAGATATCAAGTCTGTGTCTGTCTGTCTGTCTGTGAGTGTGTGTGTGTCTGTCTGTCTCTGTGTCTGTCTGTCTGTCTGTCTGTCTCTCTCTCTCTCTCTGTCCCGGGGATTAATCTCAGGACCCTGGTGCTTGCTAGGCAGGTGTTTGTTTATTCTACTGACCCATCTCCCTGGCCCAGAAACTCAAATTCTGGGTAGCTTATATTTTGCATCTGCTTTTAAATTAGCCCTGACTTTATACAAACACAGAAGTGAAATAAAAAATCTATGTCCACTTTTAGAAAGCATCCTGAAATTTCATTTTGTTCTTCTACTATCTAGATACCATGGCAACAGCAACCAGGACATTTTAGCAAAAAAAAAGGAAGCATCTACTCCTGATACCTAATGGAGGTAAATGGGCACAGCACCAAGCCAAGAGGGCAAAGAGATTCAATGACTGGAATCACACTGTGAGGCACGTGCTTGGAGTATCCTTTCACTGGAGTGAAAAATGTGGAAAAACCCAGGATCAGCGCTCAGTACATAAAGACGACGCTAAGCCATCTTTAAAGCACACTTCCAAAGAAGAAAGATTTTGAAGAAATCAGGGCTTGTGGAGCCTATGGATCAGGGCTGAGTACGAGGCAGAAGCAAGATCTGTCTGTCGCAGAGGCTTTGGCGACAGGAAATGTTTGGTAGATACAGACACAACAGTGAGGACTGAGATGGGTGGAAGGGAGCTACCAGCCTAATCCCAGGGCTCTCCGGCTGGCTGAGCTTCCTAGCTGGATGTCTGGCAGGCGGCGACAGAGGCCACCGGGGCATGGAGGCTACCAGGGCCTTCGTGCGCCGTGCGCCCAGCAGTCCGCCCTCACCTGCAGGTGGCTGACAATACAGTAGGGCTCGGGCTTGTGCAATCCACACGTGGAGGTCACCGACAGCTTCTGGGCTCGGCCAATGAGAAGGTCGCCTGTGGCTGGGTAGCAGCTGCCCTCGGCGCAGCCATAGCTGAACTCCGGTTCCTGAGAGTCCTGAGCGTGCACTCCAGTTCCGCACAGGGCTACGGGAGGGGTGGGTGACAAGGTTGAGGGATGCGAACAGGGGACAAACCCCGAGGAATGAAATAAGCAAGAAGTAGAGTCAGGAGAAAACAGAATACACGAAAAAGACAGAATGGAAAGAAAAGCGAAGAGGTGTGGAGGGCGGAGACGTGGAGAGGTCGCAGAAAGGAACCCAGTCGCGTCATCTGCTTCGCCAGCATTCAGCAGAGCGCACCACTCCAGGAAAACCTGAACGACACTCGCACTCATTCCAATTTGCTCAGGGGAATAGTCGCCCACAAAAGGAGGATGCGCTGCTAGCCATTTCGAGATGCCTGGACCAAGGCGCAGGGAGGCTTGGCGCCCTACGCTGCCCACCAAGCGAGACCCGTGCGCGCGGGGCAGCGAGTGTGCTCCGTGCTGAGAGCGCGTGGCAGCCTGCGAGCCCGAGGCGCAAGAGCGCGCACACATGCACGCGCCGAGGTCGCCCGGGCAGAGGAGTGAGGCTCCCGGGCTGGAGATAACTGCTGCCTCTCCCAGCAAGGGGAGACCAAGCGGTGCTGCAGCTCTGGGGTGGCTTCGCCATTCCAGACATGCACCCCAGCCAGCGCTTTCTGGTGCCATCCGGAGACAAACGGCGATGGTTAATTAAAACCACATGGCCCCAATCTGTTCCCAAGACCAAATCTGCGCTCAACCCAGGCACTTTCCTGGGCAGTGGGTTCTTAGGAGACCCTCCACGGAAAGCCGTGCCACCCCTGGGTTGCTGTCTTCTGCGGCGGGGAAACTCGGCGCGAACTGGTCGGCGCCCACCCCGGAGTGGAGCGGAGCCCGCAGCAGGGCAAGCTCGGCGCGCACAGCCGGGAAAGCAGTCTGGGCGGTGGCGCTGAATCTCAGGGCGCCGTTTCCCACCAGTCCCTCTCCTGGACCCCCAGGGTCCCTCCGAGGCGGCCACCGATGGCTTTGGGGCGTTCTCCCCAGCACCCAGGTGCACCCCTTCCCCCACCGCGCCCTCGACATTACCTAAGAAATTGAAGACCAACACCTGGAGCCGCCCCATAGCCAGTCCCGCAGCCCGGGGGACTCACGGCGCCGAGCCGCTTGCCTTTTCTTCGCGTCTTCCTTCTGCAGCGGTGGAGAGGAAAAGGCAAACGCTCAGAGAGAGGAGAGGGGCCCTTGCATTTCCTGCCGCTCCCACGGAAGCAGGGGCTGGGCGGGGAAGGGGGAAAAATCGCGCAGCCACTTTGTTCTCACCGGCGCTGCGAGCGTCTGCTCGGCTCCGGGAATCCCGAGCCCAAAGAAGGGAATTAGAAAGTTTAGCCTTGGGAGGAACCCAGGGAGGCGCCTCTGCTCATGCGCACACAGAGAGCTGGGGCAGCCGGGGGGGAGGGGGGCAAGAGGGGGGATGAGGCCCGCCCCCCCTCTTTGTTTTAAGGCAGCGCCTGCGGAGGCTGCAAGGCTGGGCTCTAGTTGGCCGGGCCGCCCATGGGTGCGCGCCCTAACCGTGCGCCCGGGGCTGGACGCGTCCGGGCGGGTCTCCAAGGTGGGTGTTCAGCCCCGAGCTGGGGGGCTGGTCTGGACCTACCGCGGACTTGACTGGAATATTTACAAGTGCAAGGAATGAGTCACCAAAAGGTGCCCCGGGGTACACACTCACCTAGCGCAGAGGGAAGGCGGGTTAAGCCCTTTGAAAACAGTGGGCTAGTCAGTTTTGGTCTAAAGAGAAGTGGGAACTCCCCATAAACACTCTGGCCTCCACTACGGAAAACGAGCGCTTGGGACCGGGCGACCCCTATGCATGTCTTTGGGAGGAGAGGACCCCGTTGTCCACCGCGCATTCTTTGGGCGCGCCTCGGGGCTGCTACCCAGGTGGACATAGCTCGGAATTAGCCATCTACGGACCAGGGATTGAACTCGGGCCTTTGCGCTTGCCAGGGAAGTGCTTATTCTACGGAGCCATTTCCCTGGCCCTCGTTTTTTATCTTAAACCAACTTCTTTTCTGAATCCAGACAATGGCTTTAAGGGCCGTAATTCCTCAAACGACGCTATCTTTAAAAACTCTGCCCATCTAACGTGGAGATATTGACACAACCTCTAAGCTGGGGATAGTTCAAGAGACACACTTCTCCATAGAGTCCACAGAAGACCACCTGAAGGCACGTCCAGCAGAGAACCGCGTCTACAGCCTGGAGGACGGAAAGGGCCCCAGCAGCAATGCGCCTGGCTGGGCTGGTTAAATGCAGGCAGACGCATCTCCTAGGGGAGGAGACAGCCTCAGTGCGCCCCCCACTCCCTGCTCGGGAAAGAGCCTCGTCTGCTGCTCTTGGCAATGAATGGGGCCAGGATTGAAGAAACTTTCTTTAGTCGCGCTGTGGACACATGTGCGGGGAGTTGTGGTTTTGATTTCCAGTCATCTCATGGACAAGTGATTGAGTGACTGGTTGGTGAGCTTTTAACTCAGCTGCAATTCAATGGGGCCCACGGGAAGTTTAATCATTAGATCTCACTGTAAGCTGCTGTCCACTTTTATAAACATCCCTTAAGTCCAGAGAGGCGTTAATTATAAACCAGATCACATTTGGCCTGGCTGTACCCTGGGAAGGTGGTGCCTTGCTGGTGCTTGAGACCCTTGGAGCCAGGAATTCCAGAGAAAAGCCACGCTACTGTGAGATCCATGGGGGTTAAGCCGAAAATCTTCAAAGGCAAAAACCTTTCTCCAGCCTTAAAACCCTGAACTAAGTTTCATATCACGGTTTCTGGACACCTGTCCTTGTCAGGATCCACTTCCTCCAATGCCCTTCAAAACCTGCTACTGTCCTCATCGCCCCTCTTGCTCAGGGACTCGACTTCCCTCCGTCTTCAGGAAAAGCAAAGTGGCCTTCATCCTGCACACTCAACCCTCCTTTCCTCCTTTTGACTGCACAGCAGGCTCCTGACAGAGATCCTAGGTGCTGGCTGCTTCAGGTGGCGCTGCAGTGTGGCCGTGTCTGCTGGTGCTGGCGGTCATCGCCCCATCCCAAATGCAGCCCACGTTTCCACACTGGAGTCCTGTCGGAGCCACTTGTGGCATGCGTTTCACAGATCACTTCTTCCTTCCTCAGACTCTTTGTCTGGCCTCCCACAGACTCTGGTTTCTCTGCTTCCATTTCTCCTCCTTGTCAGATCCCTTGAACACTGGTGCTTGTAGAGAGTTTCCCTCTTTCCCATTTTGTTGTTCTTTCTAGACAGGGTCTCACTGTGTAGTTCAAGCTGCTCTTAAACTCACTATGTAGCCCAGGCTGGCCTCCCACTCAGTGACCCTCCTGCCTTAGCCTCCCAAGTGCTGGAATTACAGGCAGGCACCACCACACATGGCTCTTTCCCACCTCTAGATAGCTTGTCCATGTGCGGGGCTCTCAATTTGCCTCCCAGCCCGCCACTGCACTGCCTTCCCCTTGCTTGGAACTGGCATCCAGTTTCTAATAGGCTGTACCTCTGTCTGCTTTGGTGACACACAGGTACCTGCAGTTCTTGCAAAGCTGAGCGCCTCTCTCCATTCTCCTAAGGCAAAGCAAGTTCTTCTGTTCAGTCACTGGCACCCTTGTCTGCCCCTCAACTCCAGACAGAAACCTGGGGCGGGACCTGACACAGGATTAGCTGGGCACACATGGAGTCCTGAATGTCTGAGAACAGAAAGACAGAACCTTGAGTTTATGCCATACTGTTCCTAAGTACCTGGGTACAAATCATGTGCCCACGAACGAAGCCAGCCAGTGGGGACTTGAAACACATCTTCTCCTCAGCCTGTTCCTCACTGGTCATCAGCTCTGCCCCTTCACCCCTAGCTGCTGTCCTATTGCCCCAGCCTCCTTCCTCCCTCTGAAGCCTTCAGGAGCCCCGGACAGCTGTTGTCACTGCTTCCCGGGTCCCCTGTGCAGTCAGATCCCCTGGAGGAAGTGTCTGTTATTCTCCTGTTTGTGCTCTCTTTGTACATATTTTATGTCCTTCTGACTTTCTTTTCTCTGGTGCGCGGGCCCCCCCCCGTGACCTTATCCTATTTGTGAACTGCCACACTTCTTTGTGGGAGCCTCTTCAGACATGGCTTTTAATGAAGCCTCTCTCCTCCAGCACGTTGAGAAGCCCAAAGCAGCACACGTGGCATAATTCTCTACTTGTGTCCTTTCCTCTGCCAGCAGTGAGATTGTTGCAGGCAGCCAAATTAGATGGAAATATTATAGGCAGTGAGACAGGGCGAGGCCCTCAAAGGAGATGACACAGAAGACAAGATACCTTACATCTGTGGGAGGGACGGATGCTCCCGCTGTGGGCCAGACCTAAAGACCAAAGAGCAAACAAATGCTGATCTCCCTAAAGATTGGCATCCGAGCTTGACCATCACCCTCGGATGGAGGGAGCCAGAAGAATCATTAATCTGACTATTACTGGATGGCTACCTATAAAGTCCTGTTCTACACTCATGCCCTCTTGCTACGTGACTCGCTTCCCCATTTGGTCCTGGACTTAAGCAATTTTATCTCAGCAATGGTGCTTGTAATCCCATTGGTTGACCATAGTTTTGTCCCACCCCACATCCACCTAAGTGAGTTCCCAATTTCTCCACTACCTAGACCCACCTCACCACATGGTTTTACACTATAAAAGTCCCTTGAAAAGACAGCTTCTTGGGGAAAACCTGCCTAGGGTCCCCTCCTGTCCCTCTCTCAGAAAGGAGCTTTCTTTCTCTCAATAAGTATATTCTGCTCATAACCTCCGTTTGTCCCTAAAATTCATTCTTTGGTTTCAGAAAATATGAACTCGTGTAGGTCAGCTTGGGAGATCAGTTTTCCCGTATATCATTTGGAGGTTCCCTGGATCGTTTGGAGGTCACCCACCCAAGATCAGTGTTTCTCCCTGTATCAAGATAAACTCTGTGTGAAGTGACCCCTTTCACATCAGTGTCAGCCACCACCACGAGGCACTCTAGGTATTCAGCAAGTCTTCCCTAAATTGAAGTAAATCAAGACTAGTTTCAATGTCTTAAAATTTAACTCTTAAATATCTTTTTTTTTTTTAAATTAAATGCCTGCCTTCAAGCTTAATATGAATTTCTTTCTAGTCAAGCAGAAAAAGAAATACTATGGACTTTAGGAATATCTTCAAGTTTTACATATGGACAAATCCTTTTTTTTTTTTTTTTAATGTATTTGGTAAGGGGCTCACCACACAGCTCAGATTGACAGTAATCCCGTTTTCAGGTTCTCCAGAACTGGTGCTACAGGCATGTGCCACCAAGTCCAGTCTGGGTGAATGGCTCATTGTGCCCAGGGTCAGGGTTGGCATGGCATGTGAGGCAGGGGATCAAACTCTGTCCCTGTGCTTGCCTAAGCAGGCACTTAGTCCACGAGCTCTCTCACCAGCCCTCAGCAAATCCTTGTCTTTGTATTTCATATGACTTCCTTAGATTTCTGAAGATGTTAGGAAGACAGCTGGGTATGGTAGTACATACTGATAATCCCAGCACTCTGGGAGGCTGAGGCAGGAAATCACAAAGTTTGAGCCCAGTTTGGGCAATTTAGCAAGACCGTCTCAAAATAAGAAATAAAAAGGGGTCTAAGGGATAAGACCCTGAGTTCAATCTCCAGAGCCACCAAAATTGCAACAAAAATCCACAACAGCAACAACAAAATACATTTAGGAGGAATGAGTTTCCTGTCACTGAGCCTGGCCCAAGCCTGACTGTGGCTGATGACACTGTCCCGTCCCCAGTCCCTCACTGTTGTGGGCCTGGTGCTTTCTGCTTCTACACGCCGCCATATGTTCTGGAGGCTTCTGTAGTATTCTGCTGGCAGATGGACTTACAAACTGTTGGCTGTTGTTCCAGAGAATGTGGGCCAGTTACCTCCCCCAGGCATTGCTTATTTTCACTTGGAAAAAACCCCACTAAGAATCACTTGAAGGTGACCTTCATTTTCAGTCTTAAACTCCCACACTTGTGTCCCATTTTAAATTCTGATTGACACTGAAAAATAAGGACGTAGTACCCTATTAGCTTTTAACATTTGACTATTTTTATAAGCTCATAATCACAAAATATATTCAATTTTTGCTGCTTTGAAAATTAGATTGAAATGTACTTTGAGATTCAGAATTGATTTCACACGCATACACACACACACACACAAAACTTCCTTAAGTTTTTACATGTCCACTTTTTTGTTACTTAATATGATTTTTTTTTCTAGTTAAAGAGGAAAAGAAATATCATTGCCACACTTATTTTGTCTTAGGAATACTTCCAAGCTTCTCTCATAAACAAATATTCTTGTGAAATATTCTTGCACATCAAATTTCACACAGCTTCTTTGATTTTTGGAGCTGTT